ACACAAGCCTTCTGCAGGGAGCAGGAGGAGAAATGTTCTGCAGGGAGCAGGAGGAGAAACGTTCTGCAGGGAGCAGGAGGAGAAATGTTCTGCAGGGAGCAGGAGGAGAAATGTTCTGCAGGGAGCAGGAGGAGAAACGTTCTGCAGGGAGCAGGAGGAGAAATGTTCTGCAGGGAGCAGGAGGAGAAACGTTCTGCAGGGAGCAGGAGGAGAAGCCTTCTGCAGGGAGCAGGAGGAGAAATGTTCTGCAGGGAGCAGGAGGAGAAACGTTCTGCAGGGAGCAGGAGGAGAAATGTTCTGCAGGGAGCAGGAGGAGAAATGTTCTGCAGGGAGCAGGAGGAGAAACGTTCTGCAGGGAGCAGGAGGAGAAATGTTCTGCAGGGAGCAGGAGGAGAAATGTTCTGCAGGGAGCAGGAGGAGAAACGTTCTGCAGGGAGCAGGAGGAGAAACGTTCTGCAGGGAGCAGGAGGAGAAGCCTTCTGCAGGGAGCAGGAGGAGAAACGTTCTGCAGGGAGCAGGAGGAGAAGCCTTCTGCAGGGAGCAGGAGGAGAAACGTTCTGCAGGGAGCAGGAGGAGAAGCCTTCTGCAGGGAGCAGGAGGAGAAACGTTCTGCAGGGAGCAGGAGGAGAAGCCTTCTGCAGGGAGCAGGAGGAGAAATGTTCTGCAGGGAGCAGGAGGAGAAACGTTCTGCAGGGAGCAGGAGGAGAAGCCTTCTGCAGGGAGCAGGAGGAGAAACGTTCTGCAGGGAGCAGGAGGAGAAGCCTTCTGCAGGGAGCAGGAGGAGAAATGTTCTGCAGGGAGCAGGAGGAGAAACGTTCTGCAGGGAGCAGGAGGAGAAACGTTCTGCAGGGAGCAGGAGGAGAAGCCTTCTGCAGGGAGCAGGAGGAGAAATGTTCTGCAGGGAGCAGGAGGAGAAACGTTCTGCAGGGAGCAGGAGGAGAAACGTTCTGCAGGGAGCGGGAGGAGAAATGTTCTACAGGGAGCAGGAGGAGAAACGTTCTGCAGGGAGCGGGAGGAGAAGCCTTCTGCAGGGACCAGGAGGAGAAGCCTTCTGCAGGGAGCAGGAGGAGAAATGTTCTGCAGGGAGCAGGAGGAGAAACGTTCTGCAGGGAGCAGGAGGAGAAATGTTCTGCAGGGAGCAGGAGGAGAAACGTTCTGCAGGGAGCAGGAGGAGAAATGTTCTGCAGGGAGCAGGAGGAGAAGCCTTCTGCAGGGAGCAGGAGGAGAAACGTTCTGCAGGGAGCAGGAGGAGAAGCCTTCTGCAGGGAGCAGGAGGAGAAACGTTCTGCAGGGAGCAGGAGGAGAAACGTTCTGCAGGGAGCAGGAGGAGAAGCCTTCTGCAGGGAGCAGGAGGAGAAATGTTCTGCAGGGAGCAGGAGGAGAAACGTTCTGCAGGGAGCAGGAGGAGAAGCCTTCTGCAGGGAGCAGGAGGAGAAATGTTCTGCAGGGAGCAGGAGGAGAAACGTTCTGCAGGGAGCAGGAGGAGAAGCCTTCTGCAGGGAGCAGGAGGAGAAATGTTCTGCAGGGAGCAGGAGGAGAAACGTTCTGCAGGGAGCGGGAGGAGAAGCCTTCTGCAGGGAGCAGGAGGAGAAATGTTCTACAGGGAGCAGGAGGAGAAACGTTCTGCAGGGAGCGGGAGGAGAAGCCTTCTGCAGGGACCAGGAGGAGAAATGTTCTGCAGGGAGCAGGAGGAGAAACGTTTTGCAGGGACCAGGAGGAGAAACGTTCTGCAGGGACCAGGAGGAGAAATGTTCTGCAGGGAGCAGGAGGAGAAGCCTTCTGCAGGGAGCAGGAGGAGAAATGTTCTGCAGGGAGCGGGAGGAGAAGCCTTCTGCAGGGAGCAGGAGGAGAAACTTCCTGCAGGGAGCAGGAGGAGAAATGTTCTGCAGGGACCAGGAGGAGAAACGTTTTGCAGGGACCAGGAGGAGAAACTTCCTGCAGGGAGCAGGAGGAGAAATGTTTTTCAGTCACCAGGAGGAGAAGCCTTCTGCAGTCACCAGGAGGAGAAGCGTTCTGCAAGGAGCAGGAGGAGAAGCCTTCTGCAGGGAGCAGGAGGAGAAACGTTCTGCAGGGAGCAGGAGGAGAAGCCTTCTGCAGGGAGCAGGAGGAGAAACGTTCTGCAGGGAGCAGGAGGAGAAACGTTTTGCAGGGACCAGGAGGAGAAACTTCCTGCAGGGAGCAGGAGGAGAAATGTTCTGCAGGGACCAGGAGGAGAAACGTTTTGCAGGGACCAGGAGGAGAAACTTCCTGCAGGGAGCAGGAGGAGAAATGTTCTGCAGGGACCAGGAGGAGAAACGTTTTGCAGGGACCAGGAGGAGAAACTTCCTGCAGGGAGCAGGAGGAGAAATGTTTTTCAGTCACCAGGAGGAGAAGCCTTCTGCAGTCACCAGGAGGAGAAGCGTTCTGCAAGGAGCAGGAGGAGAAACGTTTTGCAGTCACCAGGAGGAGAAAAGTTGGATTCCTCGATGTCTCGAAAAGTTCCTTTAACTTGAAAAGTTAGTTTTTTTGCAGCTTTACTTCTGATACCTGCTGGTTCTGGTTCCTGGTTCTGTAGAACCTGGTAGGAAGTTGGGTCAGAACCAACACTGGGAGGAACTTCCGGACCTTCTGGTTTCTACCTTTATCTGTTCTGTAAAGTTCTGATGAACTGTTACCATGGAAATAAAGCCTCCTGCTCTCTAACTGGTTCCGTGATCTTTGGGTTAACACGGCTGCAGAGGTTCTGGTTCTGGTTCTGTCTGGGCCAGTTGTCATTGGGTCTGGTTTTAAACCTGTACTTCTCCACTATTACCAGCAGGTGGCAGCGTCTGCCAGGAAGGTTTTTATGGCCAGGTTCTGAATGGGCTCTGTTTCAGTGGACCCTTTCCAGGAACTTCTGGATCCTCTTAACCAGACCTTTAAAGGTGGTTCTGTCAGGAGATCAGATTTTCCAGCTGGTTCGGTCCAAATAGCTGAACATTCCAGAGGCCGATGTCCTGCTAGCGAAGGACCAGGCTTGGTTTGGTCAGAACTCATCCAACATCTCACCTTGAAGGACTTCTTGGACCTGAGCTGGTTCTGGTACTCCTCAGTGGGTTCTGATGGCTCCTGGTTCTGTCGGGTCAGACTCTGAATCCTAGATCTCTGAGGTTCTGCTTCTCTCTTTGGTTTTGATTCAGTTTCTCTCTGAGGTTCTGGTTCTCTTTGGTTCTGGTTCTGTCTGAGGTTCTGTTTTTCTTTGGTTCTTATTCTCTCTTTGGTTCTGGTTCTCTGAGGTTCTGTTTCTCTTTGGTTCTTATTCTCTCTTTGGTTCTGGTTCTCTGATGTTCTGTTTCTCTTTGGTTCTGGTTCTCTTTGGTTCTGGTTCTCTGAGGTTCTGTTTCTCTGTGGTTCTGGTTCTCTTTGGTTCTGGTTCTCTGAGGTTCTGTTTCTCTGTGGTTCTGGTTCTCTTTGGTTCTGGTTCTTTCTGGTTCTAGTTCACTGAGGTTCTGCTTCTCTCTTTGGTTTTGATTCAGTTTCTCTCTGAGGTTCTGGTTCTCTTTGGTTCTGGTTCTGTCTGAGGTTCTGTTTTTCTTTGGTTCTTATTCTCTCTTTGGTTCTGGTTCTCTGAGGTTCTGTTTCTCTTTGGTTCTGGTTCTCTTTGGTTCTGGTTCTCTGAGGTTCTGTTTCTCAGTGGTTCTGGTTCTCTTTGGTTCTGGTTCTCTGAGGTTCTGTTTCTCTGTGGTTCTGGTTCTCTTTGGTTCTGGTTCTTTCTGGTTCTAGTTCACTGAGGTTCGCTTTCTCTTTGGTTCTGGTTCTCTGAGGTTCTGTTTCTCTTTGGTTCTGGTTCTCTCTGGTTCTGGTTCTTTCTGGTTCTAGTTCACTGAGGTTCGCTTTCTCTTTGGTTCTGGTTCTCTCTGGTTCTGGTTCTCTTTGGTTCTGGTTCTCTCTGGTTCTGGTCCTCTCTGGTTCTGGTTCTCTCTGGTTCTGGTTCTCTTTGGTTGTGGTCCTCTCTGGTTCTGGTTCTCTCTGGTTCTGGTTCTCTTTGGTTCTGGTTCTCTCTGGTTCTGGTCCTCTCTGGTTCTGGTCCTCTCTGACGTTCTGTTTCTCTCTGGTTCTGGTTCTCTTTGGTTCTGTTTCTCTCCGGTTCTGTTTCTCTCTGGTTCTGTTTCTCTCTGGTTCTGGTTCTCTAAGGTTCTGTTTCTCTTTGGTTCTGGTTCTCTGAGGTTCTGGTTCTAGTTCACTGAGGTTCGCTTTCTCTCTGGTTCTGGTCCTCCCTGGTTCTGTTTCTCTCTGGTTCTGGTTCTCTCTGGTTCTGGTTCTCTCTGGTTCTCTGAGGTTCTGTTTCTCTCTGGTTCTGGTTCTCTAAGGTTCTGTTTCTCTTTGGTTCTGGTTCTCTGAGGTTCTATTTCTCTTTAGTTCTGGTTCTCTCTGGTTCTGGTTCTTTCTGGTTCTAGTTCACTGAGGTTCGCTTTCTCTCTGGTTCTGGTCCTCTCTGGTTCTGTTTCTCTCTGGTTCTGGTTCTCTAAGGTTCTGTTTCTCTTTGGTTCTGGTTCTCTGAGGTTCTGTTTCTCTTTAGTTCTGGTTCTCTCTGGTTCTGGTTCTTTCTGGTTCTAGTTCACTGAGGTTCGCTTTCTCTCTGGTTCTGGTCCTCTCTGGTTCTGGTTCTCTCTGGTTCTGGTTCTCTTTGGTTCTGGTTCTCTCTGGTTCTGGTCCTCTCTGGTTCTGGTCCTCTCTGACGTTCTGTTTCTCTCCGGTTCTGTTTCTCTCTGGTTCTGTTTCTCTCTGGTTCTGGTTCTCTCTGGTTCTCTGAGGTTCTGTTTCTCTCTGGTTCTGGTTCTCTAAGGTTCTGTTTCTCTCTGATTCTGGTTCTCTGAGGTTCTGTTTCTCTCTGGTTCTCTGTGGTTCTGTTTCTCTTTGGTTCTGGTTCTCTCTGGTTCTCTGTGGTTCTGTTTCTCTGAAGTTCTGGTTCTCTCTGGTTCTCTGTGGTTCTGTTTCTCTTTGGTTCTGGTTCTCTGAGATTCTGCTTCTGAGGTTTGGGTCGGCAGAGGTTTGGGTTAAAGCTCCAGAGATTTTTCTTCCCACCTCTCCGGAAGCTTCAGCCAGACCACCAGCTGAGGAAGAGGATGGAGGCAGCTTCCTCACTCTGGAGCAGCCCTGATAGAAAATGTGAACCGAGGCAAACTGAGACCCAGACGCACGCGGACGTCCAACTGGATCGCAGCGCGCGGCCGGAACCAGCTGTCCTAATGCCCCCCTCCCCCCCGCAGGCTCCCACCTGACTCCGGGGCGGGCCTGCTGCCGCTCACCCTAACCCCGCAGAACCGGGAGGAGAACCGAAGGAGGACGGAGCCAGCATGAGCAGGACGGGCCGGCGCTGCGCTCTGCAGGTGTTCCTCTGCCTCGGGCTGGTTTACCTGAAGATCGGGTGAGTTCTGGGGGGTTCTGGGGCCAGCGGGTTGGACACCTTGGTTCCACCTGCAGCTGAAGACACCAGTTCGGTTCTGGTTTCCAGTCAGAACTTTTCTCTCATCGCAGGGGGCTGTGGCCGGTGGTCGCTCTGGGAGCCAGCATCATCTGTAACAACATCCCGGGCCTGGCCCCCCGGCAGCGGACCATCTGCCAGAGCAGACCCGACGCCATCATCGCGGTCGGAGAGGGGGTCCAAATGGGCCTCAGCGAGTGCCAGTTCCAATTCCGCTACAGCCGCTGGAACTGTTCGGCGCTGGGGGAGAGGACGGTGTTCGGGAAGGAGCTCAGAGTGGGTAGGTCCACAAAAAGTACGGTACGGACCGGGACCGGGACCGGGACCAGGACGGACCGAAACCGGACCGGACTGGGATCGGGAAGCGCGTCAGCTACTGAGCAGAACCAGAACCATCTCCAGGTCATTTTGGATCAGACCTGGAGGAGGTCCAGCTCTGCTCCACCAGGAGTTATCTCCAAAGCGCAGCTCTGAGATTTATGGGCTGGAACCGTCTTCATGTGCATGCCTCTCAGACTCACCTCTGCAGGGTGGAGGTGGAACAGCAGCTGACAGAACCTTCCTCTGGTCCAGAACCTTCCTCTGGTCCAGAACCTTCCTCTGGTCCAGAACCTTCCTCTGGTCCAGAACCTCCATCTGGTCCAGAACCTTCCTCTGACCCAGAACCTTCCTCTGGTCCAGAACCTCCATCTGGTCCAGAACTTTTCTCTGGTCCAGAACCTTCCTCTGACCCAGAACCTTCCTCTGGTCCAGAACCTCCATCTGGTCCAGAACTTTCCTCTGGTCCCGAACCTTCCTCTGACCCCGAACCTTCCTCTGGTCCAGAACCTTCCTCTGACCCAGAACCTTCCTCTGGTCCAGAACCTCCATCTGGTCCAGAACTTTCCTCTGGTCCAGAACCTTCCTCTGGTCCAGAACCTTCCTCTGACCCAGAACCTCCATCTGGTCCAGAACCTTCCTCTGACCCAGAACCTTCCTCTGGTCCAGAACCTCCATCTGGTCCAGAACTTTCCTCTGGTCCAGAACCTTCCTCTGACCCAGAACCTTCCTCTGGTCCAGAACCTTCCTCTGACCCAGAACCTTCCTCTGGTCCAGAACCTCCATCTGGTCCAGAACTTTCCTCTGGTCCCGAACCTTCCTCTGACCCCGAACCTTCCTCTGGTCCAGAACCTTCCTCTGACCCAGAACCTTCCTCTGACCCAGAACCTCCATCTGGTCCAGAACCTTCCTCTGACCCAGAACCTTCCTCTGGTCCAGAACCTCCATCTGGTCCAGAACTTTCCTCTGGTCCAGAACCTTCCTCTGACCCAGAACCTTCCTCTGGTCCAGAACCTTCCTCTGACCCAGAACCTTCCTCTGGTCCAGAACCTCCATCTGGTCCAGAACTTTCCTCTGGTCCCGAACCTTCCTCTGACCCCGAACCTTCCTCTGGTCCAGAACCTTCCTCTGACCCAGAACCTTCCTCTGGTCCAGAACCTCCATCTGGTCCAGAACTTTCCTCTGGTCCAGAACCTTCCTCTGGTCCAGAACCTTCCTCTGACCCAGAACCTCCATCTGGTCCAGAACCTTCCTCTGACCCAGAACCTTCCTCTGGTCCAGAACCTCCATCTGGTCCAGAACTTTCCTCTGGTCCAGAACCTTCCTCTGACCCAGAACATTCCTCTGGTCCAGAACCTTCCTCTGACCCAGAACCTTCCTCTGGTCCAGAACCTTCCTCTGGTCCAGAACCTTCCTCTGACCCAGAACCTCCATCTGGTCCAGAACCTTCCTCTGACCCAGAACCTTCCTCTGACCCAGAACCTCCATCTGGTCCAGAACTTTCCTCTGGTCCAGACCCTTCCTCTGGTCCAGAACCTCCATCTGGTCCAGAACCTTCCTCTGGTCCAGAACCTTCCTCTGGTCCAGAACCTTCCTCTGACCCAGAACCTTCCTCTGGTCCAGAACCTTCCTCTGACCCAGAACCTTCCTCTGGTCCAGAACCTCCATCTGGTCCAGAACTTTCCTCTGGTCCAGAACCTTCCTCTGGTCCAGAACCTTCCTCTGACCCAGAACCTCCATCTGGTCCAGAACCTTCCTCTGACCCAGAACCTTCCTCTGGTCCAGAACCTCCATCTGGTCCAGAACTTTCCTCTGGTCCAGAACCTTCCTCTGACCCAGAACTTTCCTCTGGTCCAGAACCTTCCTCTGACCCAGAACCTTCCTCTGGTCCAGAACCTTCCTCTGACCCAGAACCTTCCTCTGGTCCAGAACCTCCATCTGGTCCAGAACTTTCCTCTGGTCCAGAACCTTCCTCTGACCCAGAACCTTCCTCTGGTCCAGAACCTTCCTCTGACCCAGAACCTTCATCTGGTCCAGAACCTCCATCTGGTCCAGAACTTTCCTCTGGTCCAGAACCTTCCATCTGGTCCAGAACCTTCCTCTGACCCAGAACCTTCCTCTGGTCCAGAACCTCCATCTGGTCCAGAACTTTCCTCTGGTCCAGAACCTCCATCTGGTCCAGAACCTTCCTCTGGTCCAGAACTTTCCTCTGACACAGAACCTTCCTCTGGTCCAGAACCTTCCTCTGACCCAGAACCTCCATCTGGTCCAGAAGTTTCCTCTGGTCCAGACCCTTCCTCTGGTCCAGAACCTCCATCTGGTCCAGAACCTTCCTCTGGTCCAGAACTTTCCTCTGACCCAGAACCTTCCTCTGGTCCAGAACCTTCCTCTGACCCAGAACCTTCCTCTGGTCCAGAACCTCCATCTGGTCCAGAACCTTCCTCTGATCCAGAACCTTCCTCTGGTCCAGAACCTTCCTCTGATCCAGAACCTCCATCTGATCCAGAACCTTCCTCTGGTCCAAAACCTTCCTCTGGTCCAGAACCTTCCTCTGACCCAGAACCTTCCTCTGATCCAGAACCTTCCTCTGGTCCAGAACCTTCCTCTGATCCAGAACCTCCATCTTATCCTGAACCTTCCTCTGGTCCAGAACCTTCCTCTGACCCAGAACCTTCCTCTGGTCCAGAACCTTCCTCTGGTCCAGAACCTTCCTCTGACCCAGAACCTCCATCTGGTCCAGAACCTTCCTCTGACCCAGAACCTTCCTCTGACCCAGAACCTCCATCTGGTCCAGAACTTTCCTCTGGTCCAGACCCTTCCTCTGGTCCAGAACCTCCATCTGGTCCAGAACCTTCCTCTGGTCCAGAACCTTCCTCTGGTCCAGAACCTCCATCTGGTCCAGAACTTTCCTCTGGTCCAGAACCTTCCTCTGGTCCAGAACCTTCCTCTGACCCAGAACCTCCATCTGGTCCAGAACCTTCCTCTGACCCAGAACCTTCCTCTGGTCCAGAACCTCCATCTGGTCCAGAACTTTCCTCTGGTCCAGAACCTTCCTCTGACTCAGAACCTTCCTCTGGTCCAGAACCTTCCTCTGACCCAGAACCTTCCTCTGGTCCAGAACCTCCATCTGGTCCAGAACTTTCCTCTGGTCCAGAACCTTCCTCCTGACCCAGAACCTTCCTCTGGTCCAGAACCTCCATCTGGTCCAGAACTTTCCTCTGGTCCAGAACCTTCCTCTGGTCCAGAACCTTCCTCTGACCCAGAACCTCCATCTGGTCCAGAACCTTCCTCTGACCCAGAACCTTCCTCTGGTCCAGAACCTCCATCTGGTCCAGAACTTTCCTCTGGTCCAGAACCGTCCTCTGACCCAGAACCTTCCTCTGGTCCAGAACCTTCCTCTGACCCAGAACCTTCCTCTGGTCCAGAACCTCCATCTGGTCCAGAACTTTCCTCTGGTCCAGAACCTTCCTCTGACCCAGAACCTTCCTCTGGTCCAGAACCTTCCTCTGACCCAGAACCTTCATCTGGTCCAGAACCTCCATCTGGTCAAGAACTTTCCTCTCGTCCAGACCCTTCCTCTGGTCCAGAACCTCCATCTGGTCCAGAGCCTTCCTCTGGTCCAGAACTTTCCTCTGACCCAGAACCTTCCTCTGGTCCAGAACCTTCCTCTGGTCCAGAACCTTCCTCTGACCCAGAACCTCCATCTGGTCCAGAACTTTCCTCTGGTCCAGACCCTTTCTCTGGTCCAGAACCTCCATCTGGTCCAGAACCTTCCTCTGGTCCAGAACTTTCCTCTGACCCAGAACCTTCCTCTGGTCCAGAACCTTCCTCTGACCCAGAACCTTCCTCTGGTCCAGAACCTCCATCTGGTCCAGAACCTTCCTCTGATCCAGAACCTTCCTCTGGTCCAGAACCTTCCTCTGATCCAGAACCTTCCTCTGGTCCAGAACCTTCCTCTGGTCCAGAACCTTCCTCTGGTCCAGGACCTCCATCTAGTCCAGAACCTTCCTCTGATCCAGAACCTTCCTCATATCCAGAACCTTCCTCTGATCCAGAACCTCCATCTGGTCCAGAACCTTCCTCTGGTCCAGAACTTTCCTCTGACCCAGAACCTTCCTCTGGTCCAGAACCTTCCTCTGATCCAGAACCTTCCTCTGGTCCAGGACCTCCATCTGGTCCAGAACCTTCCTCTGATCCAGAACCTTCCTCTGATCCAGAACCTCCATCTGGTCCAGAACCTTCCTCTGATCCAGAACCTTCCTCTGGTCCAGAACCTTCCCCTGATCCAGAACCTTCCTCTGGTCCAGAACCTTCCTCTGGTCCAGAACCTACATCTGGTCCAGAACTTTCCTCTGGTCCAGAACCTCCATCTGGTCCAGAACTTTCCTCTGGTCCAGAACCTTCCTCTGATCCAGAACCTCCATCTGATCCAGAACTTTCCTCTGGTCCAGAACCTCCATCTGGTCCAGAACTTTCCTCTGGTCCAGAACCTCCATCTGGTCCAGAACCTTCCTCTGTGATCCAGAACCTTCCTCTGGTCCAGAACCTTCCTCTGGTCCAGAAACTTCCTCTGATCCAGAACCTTCCTCTGGTCCAGAACCTCCATCTGGTCCAGAACCTTCCTCTGATCCAGAACCTTCCTCTGGTCCAGAACCTTCCTCTGATCCAGAACCTCCATCTGATCCAGAACCTTCCTCTGGTCCAGAACCTTCCTCTGGTCCAGAACCTTCCTCTGGTCCAGGACCTCCATCTAGTCCAGAACCTTCCTCTGATCCAGAACCTTCCTCATATCCAGAACCTTCCTCTGATCCAGAACCTCCATCTGGTCCAGAACCTTCCTCTGGTCCAGAACTTTCCTCTGACCCAGAACCTTCCTCTGGTCCAGAACCTTCCTCTGATCCAGAACCTTCCTCTGGTCCAGGACCTCCATCTGGTCCAGAACCTTCCTCTGATCCAGAACCTTCCTCTGGTCCAGAACCTTCCTCTGATCCAGAACCTTCCTCTGGTCCAGGACCTCCATCTGGTCCAGAACTTTCCTCTGACCCAGAACCTTCCTCTGGTCCAGAACCTTCCTCTGATCCAGAACCTTCCTCTGGTCCAGAACCTTCCTCTGATCCAGAACCTTCCTCTGATTCAGAACCCTCCTCTGGTCCAGAACCTTCCTCTGGTCCAGAACCTACATCTGGTCCAGAACTTTCCTCTGGTCCAGAACCTCCATCTGGTCCAGAACTTTCCTCTGGTCCAGAACCTTCCTCTGGTCCAGAACCTCCATCTGGTCCAGAACCTTCCTCTGATCCAGAACCTCCATCTGGTCCAGAACCTTCCTCTGATCCAGAACCTTCCTCTGGTCCAGAACCTTCCCCTGATCCAGAACCTTCCTCTGGTCCAGAACCTTCCTCTGATCCAGAACCTTCCTCTGGTCCAGAACCTTCCTCTGGTCCAGAACCTACATCTGGTCCAGAACTTTCCTCTGGTCCAGAACCTCCATCTGGCCCAGAACTTTCCTCTGGTCCAGAACCTTCCTCTGATCCAGAACCTCCATCTGATCCAGAACTTTCCTCTGGTCCAGAACCTCCATCTGGTCCAGAACTTTCCTCTGGTCCAGAACCTCCATCTGGTCCAGAACCTTCCTCTGTGATCCAGAACCTTCCTCTGGTCCAGAACCTTCCTCTGGTCCAGAACCTTCCTCTGGTCCAGAAACTTCCTCTGATCCAGAACCTTCCTCTGGTCCAGAACCTTCCTCTGGTCCAGAAACTTCCTCTGATCCAGAATTTTCCTCTGGTCCAGAACCTCCATCTGGTCCAGAACTTTCCTCTGATCCAGAACCTCCATCTGATCCAGAACTTTCCTCTGGTCCAGAACCTCCATCTGGTCCAGAACCTTCCTCTGTGATCCAGAACCTTCCTCTGGTCCAGAACCTTCCTCTGGTCCAGAACCTTCCCCTGATCCAGAACCTTCCTCTGGTCCAGAACCTTCCTCTGATCCAGAACCTTCCTCTAGTCCAGAACCTTCCTCTGGTCCAGAACCTACATCTGGTCCAGAACTTTCCTCTGGTCCAGAACCTCCATCTGGTCCAGAACTTTCCTCTGGTCCAGAACCTTCCTCTGATCCAGAACCTCCATCTGATCCAGAACTTTCCTCTGGTCCAGAACCTCCATCTGGTCCAGAACCTACATCTGGTCCAGAACTTTCCTCTGGTCCAGAACCTCCATCTGGTCCAGAACTTTCCTCTGGTCCAGAACCTTCCTCTGGTCCAGAACCTTCCTCTGTGATCCAGAACCTTCCTCTGGTCCAGAACCTTCCTCTGGTCCAGAAACTTCCTCTGATCCAGAACCTTCCTCTGGTCCAGAACCTTCCTCTGGTCCAGAAACTTCCTCTGATCCAGAACTTTCCTCTGGTCCAGAACCTCCATCTGGTCCAGAACTTTCCTCTGATCCAGAACCTCCATCTGATCCAGAACTTTCCTCTGGTCCAGAACCTCCATCTGGTCCAGAACCTTCCTCTGTGATCCAGAACCTTCCTCTGGTCCAGAACCTTCCTCTGGTCCAGAAACCTCCTCTGATCCAGAACCTTCCTCTGGTCCAGAACCTTCCTCTGGTCCAGAACCTACATCTGGTCCAGAACTTTCCTCTGGTCCAGAACCTCCATCTGGTCCAGAACTTCCCTCTGGTCCAGAACCTTCCTCTGATCCAGAACCTCCATCTGATCCAGAACTTTCCTCTGGTCCAGAACCTCCATCTGGTCCAGAACTTTCCTCTGGTCCAGAACCTCCATCTGGTCCAGAACCTTCCTCTGTGATCCAGAACCTTCCTCTGGTCCAGAACCTTCCTTTGGTCCAGAACCTTCCTCTGGTCCAGAAACTTCCTCTGATCCAGAACCTTCCTCTGGTCCAGAACCTTCCTCTGGTCCAGAAACTTCCTCTGATCCAGAACTTTCCTCTGGTCCAGAACCTCCATCTGGTCCAGAACTTTCCTCTGATCCAGAACCTCCATCTGATCCAGAACTTTCCTCTGGTCCAGAACCTCCATCTGGTCCAGAACCTTCCTCTGGTCCAGAACCTTCCTCTGGTCCAGAACCTTCCTCTGGTCCAGAAACTTCCTCTGATCCAGAACCTTCCTCTGGTCCAGAAACTTCCTCTGATCCAGAACCTCCCTCCAGAAATCCCCATCTATGATCTTTTATTTATTTGTATAATACAGCTACAAATAAATATTTCAACCCTGAGAAAATAAATCTTAATATTTGTTCCAGTAGCATTAGTTTCCAGAGGTCAAAGGTTTCCTGTAGTTTTTCAGCAGGTTTGCTCACACTGCAGGAGGGATTTTGGCCCACTCCTCCACACAGATCTACTCTAGATCAGTCAGATTTCTCGCAAAGATTCTCTATTGGGTTTAGATCTGGAGACTAGCTAGGCCACGCCAGAACCTAGATCTGCTTCTTCCAGAGCCGCTCCTTGGTTATCCTGGCTGTATGCTTCGGGTCATTGTGATGCTGGAAGACCCAGCCTCCACCCATCTGCAATGCTCTAACTGAGGGGAGGAGGTTGTTCCCCAAAATCTCCCAATACAGTCACCCTGTCCCATGTGCAGAAAAACTCCTCCAAAGCATGATGCTTCCACCCCCATGCTTCACTGTAGGGATGGTGTTCTTGAGATGGTTCTCATCATTCTTCTTCCTCCTTAAGCAGGGGAACCTTCCATGCCATGCATGATTTCAGAGAACAGTAACCATAGAAACGGTGGTCCCAGCTGTATTCAGGTCATTTAGCAGCTCCTCCAGTGTAGTTCTGGGCATAGGATCATTGAGACCCCACCATCATTGAGATCCTGCATGGAGCCCCAGTCTGAGAGAGATTGACAGGTTTGTTTCTGACCCGGTCCGCCTGGGGCATTTCTGACCCACTCTGCATGGCGCGTTTCTGACCCGGTCCGCCTGGTTTGTTTCTGACCCGCTCCGTTTGCCATAGTGTCTGGTATGTAAGGAGGCCACCCAGGCCTCTGACCACGGCTCTGATGGCTGCTCTCTGCCCCTGCAGGTAGTAAGGAGGCGGCCTTCACCTACGCCATCATGGCCGCCGGTGTAGCCCACGCAGTGGCGGCGGCCTGCTCCAGAGGGACGCTGAGTGGTTGCGGTTGCGACCAGGAGAAGAAGAACAGTTACAACCAGGAGGAGGGTTGGAAGTGGGGCGGCTGCTCTGCTGACCTCCGCTACGGCCTGGCCTTCTCCAAGGTCTTCGTGGACGCACGGGAGGTCAAGCAGAACGCCAGGACGCTTATGAACCTGCACAACAACCAGGTGGGCCGCAAGGTAAGGATGAGCAGAACCTTAAGGAGGCTGAGAAGAACCTGAATATGGTTCCCCATGTTCAGGTTCTTCTTCTACCAGCCTAATCACCACAGCAGATGTTCACCAGATGTTCACCATCAGAGAACAGGAAGGAACCGCTAACGGCCAAGAAGCTTCTGGTACTGCTGGGTGAGATACTGGTGGACAGATCTAGATGGGAAGATCTAGGAGGAGCTGTTCACTGTTAGATAGGTTATTGTTCATTCATTCATTCATTCATGTCTTTACTTTAAGCTTCAGAGTTAGTCTGTATGTGGTTCCTCCAGAAGGAGCTCTAGTTTTGTCCCTGACTGGACGTCAATTGAATTCTATTCAGTTTATTTCTATAGCCCCAATTCACAACACGTCGTCTCAGGTCACTGTCATGTTCACCGGATCATCCAGTCAAATTGATTCAAAGTTTTCTATCTAAGGAAAACCAGCTGATTTCATCGATTCATTGACTCTATCATTAACGTGAACAAACTGAAATCGATCAGATAGATCAGATTTAAACCAGTCTAGTGCTGTTCCTTTAATTCCAATAAAATATTCAAGTCTTTCTAAAAGAATATTCTGATCAACTGGATCAAATGCAGCACTGAGATCCAACAGGACGAGCACAGATCCATCATCTGAGGCCATGAGAATATCATTAGTGACTTTCACCAGAGCTGTTTCAGTGCTATGATGAGCTCTAAAGCCAGACTGAAACTCTTCAAAAACTTCATTATGGTGGAAGTGATCGCACACTTGTTTGGCAACTACTTTCTCAAGGATTTTAGATCAGAATTTTATAAAGCATTTAAAAATAAATTAATCTCTCCGCTTCTCAACATGTATGAGGAATCATACAAAGCTGGAATACTCCCTGAATCACTGAGGTTAGCTACAATAACTCTTTTGCTAAAACCAAATAAACCCCCGACTGAATGTTCCTGTTATAGAGGAATCAGTCTTATGGGATGTGATACAAAGATTTTGTGTAAAGCACTCTCTAAGAGATTAGATAAGTATTTACCCAATTTAATAATAGACGACCAACAAGGATTTATTAAAACAAGACAAGGCTACCATAATATAAGACGGGTTCTTAATATATTGCATAAAAAACATAATTGTCAGGACACAGCGATGCTATCATTAGACGCACGTCAAGCTTTCGACAGAATAGAGTGGAACTACCTATTTAAAGTGCTTCCTAAGTATGGATTTGGAGAAGCCTTTCTAAAATGGATAAGACTACTATACACTGATCCCACAGCACAAGTTTTAACCAATAATAACATGTCAAAACCTTTTAATTTGCAACGGTCAACCAGACAGGGTTGCCCCCTGTCACCACTGCTTTTTGTATTGGCAATAGAACCTCTGGCGATGGCAGTTAGAGCAAATACTGGAATATAAGGTATTAGAATTGGAGGAAGAGAACATCTCATTTCCTTGTTTGCAGACGACATCATATTTTTTATAGATAATTTGAAGACCAGTATTCCCAATTTACTAAATCTAATAAAAGAATTCGGCGAATTTTCAGGATATAAAATCAATAACTCAAAATCAGAGTTAATGTTTCTTAATGAAGATGAAAGGAGAAGTCCTATTGTGACTACCCCATTCAAAACAACTACAAAAGGTTTTACATACTTAGGCATTAAGATCACTCCATCCCTCAATGAAATAAACGCAGCAAATTATGAACCCCTTGTGGAAAAAGTCACAGAGATGTTAAATCGATGGTCAAATTTGCCTATATCCATGACAGGTCGAATAAATTTATTAAAAATGACAATCTTGCCCAAATTTTTGTACTATTTTCAAACACTTCCATTGCCACTGTCAGATTCATTTTATGACAATTTGGACAAATTATTTAATCAATTTATTTGGAGTGATAGAAAAGCAAGACTCCGTCTAAAGCTACTCTATTTGCCCTATGAAAGAGGTGGACTTCAAGTCCCCAACCTCAGATGGTATTATATGGCCACCCAACTAACATCAGCCACCCATTACTTCTGCCAGATGGCGCCTCCAGCTTGGGTAGATATTGAACAGCAATCTGTTCCAGATCTCTCATTAAACACCTTCATATATTCTTCAGACATAAAGACATTAAAAAATAACACAAAGAACCCTTTCTTAAAAAATACAATTATAACATGGTACGCAGCACATAAACATGTAGGTGACCAACCAGAACTATCACAATTTACTCCGATTTGGGGTAATGAAAGGTTCCCCCCTGGAAAAAATGATGGAGGATTTAAAATATGGAAAACCAAAGGCATTCAGAAAGTTAAAGATCTTTATGCTGATGGCATGTTGCTTACATTTGACCAGCTAAGCAAGAAGTATTTAATACCCCCAAAACATTTTTTTAAATATTTACAATTGAAAAACTATATGTCATCAAAAATGAAAGGAATAGTTGATATTCCACCCTTAACAAAAATAGAACAGATCTGTGTTGGGGACTTAAAAGGGAAAGGTTTTCTGTCGGTTTTTTATAATCTGTTGATGCTTTCCTCTAAGGATTCAGCAATTGACAAGTTAGACGCTTGGAGAAGAGAGACTCTTGAAGATATAGATGAGGAGGACTGGAACCAGGCCTGTTTAAAAGCGCAAAAACAAACGATAAACACACATAAACTCCTGCAATATAAATGGCTTATGAGAACCTATATAACACCAGTTAGGCTTCATCATATGTCCAGTGATATTCCAGACACGTGTACTAAATGCTTACTTGAAAAAGGAACTCTTCTCCATTGTTTATGGGAATGTCTTAAAATCCAGAAGTTTTGGAGGGAGGTTATTAGGTGTCTATCTGAAGTGTTTAAGGTTAAAGTCCCATTAGAGGTTAAAATCTGTGTTCTAGGAATATACCCAGTGGAATTTAGACAATCACAGTCAAAAACCAAATTGATAGATTATGGACTTCTTCAAGCCAGAAGATCTATTGCATTATACTGGAGGAGCATGGACGCCCCCTCCCTGGGACTCTGGAAAAAAGAAATTGCAAATTCACTCGGACTGGAAAGATTAACATATATCGCCAAGGGTAAACAACAAGACTTTGAGAACCTCTGGGAGCCATATATGAGGATTATAGAGACTGAAGGCGGAGCTTATTAAATTGATGACTTGAATACAGTTTTTATTTCCATATTGTCTTATTACTTTTTCTGTATCATAATCTAAAGAGTTTTGTATTTTTGAACAAATGCAGGTTTGAATTATGAGTGCGTGAGTGAATGCTAGTATGCAGAGGTTCATGTCTGCAATGTTAAGTTTGTAAGTTTATTGTACATTAAAAGAGAAAAATTCAATCAAATATATTGGAAAGAGAAAGAAAGATTGGATATAGGTCTATAATTGATCAAGTCATCTGCGTCAAGAGATGGTTTGTTAAGGTCAAAGGTCAGGGCAAACTCATCTTATCTGCAGAATGAGCTCAGTTCCCTTGTAGCTCTGAGGATTTATTAGGGGCTGGAGAACATTTGATCAGCATTAGGATGAGAAGCTGCAGGTCCACTGAGGTCAGGAGGAGAGGAAGGATCCAACAACCTGCTGCCCACTTGGGGCTTCTAAAGTCTCTGGAGCCTCACCGGAATATTCTACAGATGGAGACAGAAGGAGAAGAAATTCCTGAAGTTAACTGGACTTTCTGGATGTTGTTGTGGTGATAAAGAAGGTCAGAGGAAGCATTTATTCTAGGAACGAAGAGCAGCACATTTGGTTCTAGAGGTTCTCCAGTGGTGGACACCATCAATGGATCAGAACCAGGATGAGGAAACAGAACCAGATGTTGTCCAGGAGACATAGTGCAGCTGATGTTTATTTTACCTTAGCATTAGCACAGCTAGCTTTACGCATCATTTGTCTGTTCTGGGTTTTCTTTTCTAGCTACCTGATATTCTAAAGTTGCTGTTGCTGCGTAGGGAGACGCAGAGGGGCTGGATGTAATTTCCATGTTAGCTTTGGCAGACGACTGGTCACATGTTCATATTAGTTCTCTGATTGACTGGAAGCCAATAGGCAGAGCTATTATCCATAGAATGACACACTGTAGATCATAGAATGATAGAATCCAGGATGCTAACATTCACCCAAAATACCTGGAACCTTTGGCTCTACCTGTTCAATGATTATTAAAAAATGTTGTGCTTTTTAACAAAGGGATATATTTCTCTGCACTGGCTTTGAAATGCAACAGAAACAAGAGACTTTAGACCCTCTCATGGCCTTGTGGTCTGTGTTGTAGGTCCTGGAGAAGGGAATGCGTCTGGAGTGCAAGTGCCACGGCGTTTCTGGGTCCTGCACCACCAAGACTTGCTGGATGACACTTCCCAAGTTCCGGCAGCTGGGATACTTCCTGAAAGACAAGTACAACCAGGCGGTTCACGTGGAGCCGGTTCGGGCCAGCCGCAACAAGCGTCCCACTTTCCTCAAGATCAAGAGACCGCACTCCTACCACAAGCCTAAAGACTCGGAGCTGGTCTACATCGAGAGATCGCCCAACTACTGCGAGGCCGACCAGCTGACTGGCAGCATGGGGACGCAGGGGCGCCTGTGCAACAAGACGGCCCTGCAACCCAACAGTTGCGACCTGATGTGCTGCGGCCGGGGATACAACACCAACCAGTACTCCCACGTTTGGCAGTGCAACTGCAAGTTCCTGTGGTGCTGCTACGTCAAGTGCAACACCTGCAGAGAGAGGACAGAGGTGCACACCTGTAAATAGGGATATTTATTGGATGCTAATGAGGCACACCTGGACTGCACTGTGTGAGAGGGAGAGATGTTTGAATAATATATAGAGAAGAGTTTTTGTGTGCCTTTGCACTACAACCATTCCAACTGGCTGCTTCTACTTGAGTTGATCTATGCCGCCACTGGATGCTGAGTTCTTCGTCTCGTTTCTCGTTTGCAGTAGAAGGTCGGATGTTATGCAGACTTTTCTGTCATGTAACAGCCTGTCTTTCATAGAGAAATAATTTATTGACTGATAAAACTACTGATCACGTTGAAAACAGGCTGATCTACATCTGCTCTGTGACAAAGCTCCTTACTTTAAGTGTACTTAAATGCAAAAAGGTTTTTGGGGCGTTTGTATTTTTCTCTGTGTAAAGTTAAACACTTGAGCTAAAAGCTTGGGCCTTTAAAGTGAATAATCAAGCAACGTGTTTTTTTTTTTTTAGTAGTGTGCCTAAAACATCTTCCTGCTCTGGTTGGCGGTGGTTTCTACGAATGCCGTGAAAATAATGGTATCAACATATTCCAAGTTTCTTTAAATTGAAGGTTTCAAATCGGCTTAAATGTTTCCTCATTTTGTTCCTGTTGCTTTAAGTCCTGCAAAGAAGATGTTGCAGAAAGTGACGGCTGTTTGCTGCAGCTCTCTGGAGCAGCTGAAGATCACTGAGCTAGCAGAAAAATGGGACTGTAATGGCCGCCATGCCCACAGCGGGTCCTTGGGGGCTGCTGTCCTGCAGGTTGCAGGGCCCTGTACTGTAGCACGAGTTCTCCAAACAGGTCTCATGTCACCAGACCTTTGCTGTGACTCCATCAGATGGGAGCATGAACCCCCAGCTGACCCACGGCTGCAGACCCTGGCTGTGGTCCCTCTCCGGCTGCAGATCAACAGGTGTTCCTGCTGCAGCGCCTGGAGTTTCCTGTTCCTGCTGCATGGTGTTGACCAAGCAGCCATATTGGGTCCTGAAGCTAACGGGATGCGCTCTCCTCCTGTAATGAACACGATGATGGTTGATAGAATATATTCTATTTATTTTTATGTCTTTATTTATTGGTAGTCGTTGTTTGGTGGAGGAAGGTTAGGGTTAGCTTCAGAGGTTAGCTCAGATCTCCTAACCTCCTGTGCTTGGAGGAGCTTTGAGCTCTCCCCCTCTGCTGTCGGCTGAGCAAAGCAAGGCCCAGAGGTTCATCAGCTATCACTGTGTTTCTATCGCTGTGACAGAAACCACCACGCAGGGCGGTTCTGATGGAAACCCACCACTGACCCGCTTATTGTTACACCCAAACAGCCCCTCCCAGTCATGGAAAATAATCAGACCACCCTTGTTTTCAATGGAGTCCTATCTGCTGTGACTCATGGAATCCCTGAAAGAAGCTTCTGGCTGATGGTGGCTTAGCTGCTGCTCTGGAAACTTCACTGGTTAAGCTGCTGTCACACCTTCCTCATTCATCCAGCATCTGCCTGACGTCCCAGACTCTCCTAAACGCTGGCATACACTGAACTTTCTATTTTGGAAGTATACATAGAGTATTTATTACCAGTCCAGAATGACACCCTAACTTCTGCATAACGCACGGCAGCGTAATGCCCATGAAATGATGCACAAGCCAGTGTCCTGAGGGGGCAGCGATGCGCCTGGGTTGTGCTCGGCCTGCAGAGAAAGATTTATTTGATCCCGTAAAGAAGGTTTCTGGTGTCAGCAGATTGAGCGTCATGTCTGCTAGGAAGTGTGTTGGTGGTGGGCGTGAACGCAGGGAGGATCCATCACTCACCTTCTGGCTCACCCTATGATGGGGATGAAGTCTGGAGGAGAACTGACGCTTTCCTCCTGTGAACCCCCTTTATACCAAAACGCTGCCAATACGCCATTATACAGTAGCTGGAAGTTAGAAACACGTTCAGCGCTCGTCTGGAACACGTCAGATACCTTGATATGCGTTGGAGAGAAGTTACGCAGAGGTTTAGGATCAGCTAGACGCCACGACTGATGAGGAACTGACACTGAACGTACGTCAACCATCAGATAACTGACCTGGAACTGACGGCCCACGGATGGCAGACGCTGGCATACGTACTCGCCGTATGACAAAGTGTTTGAGCGTACTTCAGCGTGCTTATAAATGATCCAATGTATACCAGCGTTCTAGTCAGATTTTTCGTAGGTCAGGCATGCACTGGTCTTAATCGTGTGACGGAGGATTTATCTAGAAAACAGATCAGTTCTTTTCAGCTGTTTTTGTTGAAGCAAATCTACCTTTAGTTGCAGTAAAAGGATCCCAGAAAGGAACCTAGTTCTCCAGCTGCTGCTGTTCTCTTTCATCAGAGCTTTTAGCTGAACTGTGATGCTGAAGAAGCAGGTATAGTTTTAATGAATGCTGCAGGTTCTTTGGTTTCCATCTTTAGGTTTGAAGTCTCTCTGAGCTGCATGTGGCTCTGAGCTGCGGGGCAGGAGAGAAGCTCGGTCCTCGCTGAAGGATTACCCTGACATCTGCGCTATTCACCCCTCAATGACATCGCTACAGCAACCGCAGGCTGCCCCCCAAAAATGCTCCTCATCTCATTGAGAGGCCAGCCTGCCTTTTTACCAACCCTGCGAATGACGGATAAAGTCTGGATGCTGTTTTGTTGGGGATAGAAGTGGGGAGGGGGCCTAGCTCTGCTGGGATTTCAGTCTGACTGAGAGAATTGGGCTTAACTTTGACCCAAAACATTCCTCTGCTAAAGTTTAACAGAGAAGCAGCTTTGGTTGCTTCGTCCTTAGGAGCTCCACCGTATATGTGAGCCCCTCCCACAGCGCTGCTTTCCATTAAGAGGATCCCACCCAGCCTGAAAACATCACTGATGGAGAAATCAAAGCTTTGATGCAGATTATAAAGTTCCTCCACAAAAGTATTTATACCTGCTGAACAGTCAGAGTCTAATACAAAAATTTGCAGAAATTAGTTCAGATCTTTCTTCTTTAGCTAAGACAGACCAAAGGCTCCACAGATTCAGACTTTGACTAGGCCATTCTGATTGATTAGGAATACTAATCTAGACTAAAGGAGGACCATCACTTTAGTCTCAGGTGTCTGCAGCATGATTCTACCAAAGGACTGGTCTGTTCTCAGGGAACAATGGTGTTAAAGGAATAGTACACCCAAAACATGATTAACCTTCATTTTCTACTCACCCCCATGCTGAACAACACTCTGGAGTACTTTTTTGATATCTCAAATGCATCTGGAGATCTGGGAGGCTTCTTGCTGTCTGCTGACATTCAAATAATGGAGGTCTATGGCGCCCGAGGCAGAAAGGTCCATAAAAGTCCACAAAAAACGTGTCAATATTCCTCCATACTGCTCGTCCAATGTATTCCAAGCATAAACAGTAGTGTATAGGATTTCCTGAAAGCGCGTTCACGAGTCTACGGAAACCGCGGCAGACCAAACCAGATGAAAGTGCGCATTCAGCGTCTGCTCTGCCAATAATGCAAGCGTAGAAGAAGAAATGTGCTGTTTACCTGTGCAAAGAAAGAAACAACGAAAGAAAAATGTCTGAGGACTTCAGTGTTGAGGAAGAGCATGAGTTCTTTGCCGAGCTGAATGTGCACTTTCATCTGGTTTGGTCTGCCGCGGTTTCCGTAGACTCGTGAACGCGCTTTCAGGAAATCCTATACACTACTGTTTATGCTCTAAAAACATTCTAAATGACTTCGTTTCGAGTAAATTCTGGACGCTACCCACTCAGGACACTTGGAATACATTGGACGAGCAGTATGGAGGAATATTGACACGTTTTTTGTGGACTTTTATGGACCTTTCTGCCTCGGGCGCCATAGACCTCCATTATTTGAATGTCAGCAGACAGCAAGAAGCCTCCCAGATCTCCAGATGCATTTGAGATATCAAAAAAGTACTCCAGAGTGTTGTTCAGCATGGGGGTGAGTAGAAAATGAAGGCTAATCATGTTTTGGGTGTACTATTCCTTTAATCTTCCATGATACAAATAAACAGCTCTGGTCTGTGATGCTATTAGCATCCTCCTGTGTTCTCTGACTTTCTCTGATAGCTGGCAGGCTGGCCATGTTTAACACACACCCCACACAGAACATCAAACACCTGCTGTTTTTAATATAACCACTGATGACTGGATTGAAGGCCTGTTAAGAGCTCCTAATTCTCCTCCTTACCTTATGTGTCTCTGTTTTTCCCTTCCCTCAGAAATATGCAGACAGATGGGTGTGATACGGTGACTACAGCCTACACAGAGTATAGGACCTGTTTTATAATTAGACCCTACAGGTGGGTCTACAAGGGAGAATCTGCCACCTACTGGCACCACTTTATTTCTGCAGCTCTGCTCTCTTTAGAAAAAAGCAGCTGTTGAATAATTTGTTTGGCTTCGGTTATGGTTTGAACTTTGTTGTGAGCAATATGTGATGCACATGGGTGGTGCAGTTGGTGCTAATCCAGCTGCTGTGAACAATAACACATTGTTTAATGGTATGGATTAAATAACTTCAGCACCAGTTCTAACTGCAGCGGATCAGACACAAACAACCAAACTACTGTCCTGTCATTGACGGCTGCAACCTGCAAGACTACTTGGATTTCGCTATATCTCATAAAACATCCAATTTAAAACTTTTCTTTAAAAAAGAGTAATAAAAAAGATAATAAAGTAATAAAAGATGTTTATTAAATGCACATAAATATTGCAATGCAGTGTTCTAAATAATCTTTCATAAAGAGAAATAGTCTGTTAATGACAGTTAAAGGAGGATCTTTTATTTCCGGGTGGATCATCTAAAGCAGTGGTCCTCCTAACTGTCAATCATTCTGTTGATATGTTTACGTAAGGCCGTCCTACGTGCTCGTCCGGTTAGCTATCTTGTTCTGCACACTTTTAGGCATCATTGAACCTCACCTTTGTCGTGCATGCTCTTGCACGTGTTTAAAAGGCGTTCCCTCTCAGAGCGGGTACGGGGTTGTCCATGTGCATTTTATTTTTAAAGTGGAGAAGGCGGGTCTTTTAAAAAATTCACAAAAATCCTCCACTGTACCTTCAATGTCAGCGCAGGCGGTTGCTTTC